CTTGTATTGCTGATCGTTTTGTCTGTTTATGTTCTCTCTATCTTCTTTAGTTTTTGCTCAAAACATATAAGAGGGTAAACAAATCCTGATTTATGGGCAATCACTCTATAAAGAGTGACAGTCTTCTAACTATATCGACATAATTTTACTTGTTATACTTTGTAGATCTTGCCTTGCTGATCATTTCTGCTATTTAAAGTTTCTATTTATCTACTATGTTTTTATCATATAAGGCAAAACGCAAACAAAATGGTAAAAATCGTCATTAAAGGGCAATAACTCCAATAAGGAGTCGTTAGACGATTTCCTCCATGATGTTTAATTGGAGATATTGTCTTGCTGATCATTTTTGCTTATTTAAGTTTCTATCTATCTATTATATTTTAAGATATAAAGCAAAAACACAAAAAATAGGTAAACATCGTCATTCAAAGGCAATAACTCATATAAGGAGTCGTTGGAGCATTTCCAATATATTGCCTTAATTGTAGATCTCGTCTTGCTGATAATTTTTGCAGTTTAAAGTATCTTTGTATCTATTAAAGTTTTCAAGATAATAGCCAAAATTAAAAAATATGGTAAAATTTGTCATTTAAGGGCAATTACTCCCATAAGAAGTCCCCTGACAGTTATGACATAAATGGACAATTGGTAGAGCTCAACATTTTGAACAGTTCTGTCCCTGTCAGATTTATAACGGTTTTCAAAATAATAGACAAAACTTGCATGTTCTATTTTTAGCCATGTCAGCCATCTTGGTTGGCAGGCGGGGTCATCGGACACATTTTTTTTTAACTAGATACCCCAATGATGATTGTGGCCAAGTTTGGTTAAATAAAATTTGGTCCAGTAGTTTCAGAGGAGAAGATTTTGGTAAAAGTTAACGACGACGGCGGACGAAGACGACGAACGACTGACGCCAAGTGATGAGAAAAGCTTACTTTGCGGCGCTTTGTGCCAGGTGAGCAAAAAAAAGGGGGAAGTCCATAAAATCTGCCAAAATTAAACGATAGGCTATATCAACCAACAGAATAAATGGAAAACAACTGTCATATTCTTGACTTTGTACATGCCTTTTCCGTAGAAAATAGTGGTTTAAACCTGGTTTTATGACTAGCTAAACCTCTCACTTGACTGTATGACAGTTGTTTAAAGTTCGGTTATATTGACAAAATTGGATGAACAACCCAAACAAACATAATTGGTGACAATAATTTGGATCCATCAGCCAAACCTTTAGTTGTTTATAAGGTATTCTGTGGTTTTGTTCATCTTTTTGTTTTTGTTGTTGGTTATTACCATGGCGTTGACAGTTTTCCTTCGACTTGCGAGATTTGAATATCACATTGGTAGCTTCCGCCTCATTTTTACACACATTGACCACAGGTACTTGTCTCTGAAAATAAACTCCTATGTACTTTAATATAACACTGTTATATTTAATTATATAGTGGTTTTTTCAGAGACAAGACTTAGTGCCTGTGACATTAACACTGACGGTGCCAATTTTTAGCAAAATGTCGTTTTTTTAAAAACTCTTGCTCATATCTAAAAATAAATGGCAAGATATCAAAAAAGACTTTTTGCTGTTTTGCACTAAATGTGAGAAGTTTAAAGGCATAATGCCAATATGCAAAATAAAATTATAAACTATAAATACTGATGACGGACAGCATATCTAAAGGATGTCGTTCTGTATATGCATATATGTATATTTTATTTAAAATACGTTTTGATTTTAAGTTTCAAGGGGCCACAGCAGTGAACATTTTTTGCTGTTTACAGTTTTCTTTATCAAAGTTTCAAAGAAAAATAGGTAAAAATTATCATTAAAGGGCAATAACTCCTATTGAGTTGACTGACCATTTCGGCCATCGTGACATATTGTAAATCTTGTCCTGTAGAATTGTTTTGCCTATTAAAGTATCTATCTATCTACATATTATAGTTTTTTGGCAAACATGCAAAAAATCGTGAAAATCGTCACTTGAGGGCAATAACCATATGACTTTTGTTTAGGAGGGATGTGAATTTTTTAAAGTTCAATGCGAACTAACTGCAACCGACATATCGTACCACCCTGTGTGCCGTTCGGGGTTCCTGAAACTTACTTTCATGTGAAATCACACTTCTTAGTCGCCAACAAGCTCAAATGCAGTTAAATACCACATCCAGTGAAAGGCTTTTTCAAATAGTATAATTTAACTTCTGAAACAAACAATGATAAATTCCAGATACATACCCTACGAAATATCAATGTTACAACACTTATGTACATTGACGGTCCTACAATCTGTAGATACCTATATTCTGGCATTGCACAAGATCATGTTTTCCTCGGACTATTAAAGATGTCTTTACTAAATCCATTGGAAGTTGGATATTTACTGATTGATAAGTCCTATAGATACATTATTTTTGTTGTTGTTGGTGACTTTGAACTAGCTTTCAGTAACTGTGAGTACTCACAGATCTGTACTTTGTGTCTTTTGTGTTTTTGTGTTGTTGGTGACTTTGAACTAGCTTTCAGTAACTGTGAGTACTCACAGATCTGTACTTTGTGTCTTTTATGTTTTTGTTAGTTGTTGGTGACTTTGAACTAGCTTTCAGTAACTGTGAGTACTCACAGATCTGTACTTTGTGTCTTTTGTGTTTTTGTTAGTTGTTGGTGACTTTGAACTAGCTTTCAGTAACTGTGAGTACTCACAGATCTGTACTTTGTGTCTTTTGTGTTTTTGTTAGTTGTTGGTGACTTTGAACTAGCTTTCAGTAACTGTGAGTACTCACAGATCTGTACTTTGTGTCTTTTGTGTTTTTGTTAGTTGTTGGTGACTTTGAACTAGCTTTCAGTAACTGTGAGTACTCACAGATCTGTACTTTGTGTCTTTTGTGTTTTTGTTAGTTGTTTTTACTTTGTATCGAGGTGATGAGTTAAGCTCTTTTCAACTGATTTTATAGTATGTTCTTATGTTGTGCTGTTACACCACTGTCGCAGGTTAAGGGAAGTTTGGCGAGTCCACAAACATGTTTAACCCTGTCAAATTCTGTCTGTGCCTGTGCCAAGTCTGTAATTCAGTGGTTGTCTTTTGTTGCTGTATATCGTATTTTTTTTCATATAGTTTTCTTTTTGACATTTGTCATTTGGGGGCCTTTTACATCTTGCTATGCAGTACAGGTTTTGCTCATTATTGAAGGAACAGTGACCTATAGTGCTAACCTTCTACATCATTTGGTCTCTGGTGGAGAGTTTTCTGACCCCACATTGGCAATCATACCACATCTTTTTATTTATATATATTTAAGAAAAATTAAATTATGAGTTTTTTATTTTACAATAAAACAAACAATACAAAATAATTGCACTTTGAATAATATAGCAACTAACAGAAATTCTTCAAAATTAGACATACATTCTTGCAAACAAGTAAAAAATAGAATATATGCCAAATCATACCTTAATTTGCCAACTCGTACTCAACAAACTCTTTAACACCTGATTTTTTCCAACCTATACCTTTATACCAACTTGTTCCAAATTTTTAGATATTATATGCATATGCATTGTATTTTCTATCATATGAATATTAAAATAGAAAAATAAAAAAAACTAGAAAACCCAGGGTCAGCTTTAGGGTCCAGTTGCACATTTTGCTTGAGGCACAGAGAAAATGCATACAAAGCAAGTCATGTTCATGGGGTGTCAATCTTCAGGAATTTCAACAACATGAATTAATTCAGGGTGTTTTCTCAATAAATATAAGTTTTTTTTTTTAAATCCAATTGCTATGTATTTTTGTGGGCATTTTGTAATTGAGGGGGCAACTATATTTATTTTACACATGAAATCATTTGGGAACAACAAATTTTAACCACATATAGATTTTAGCAAAAACTGATGTTTCTCAACATTTATAATTCTTTATTACAAAAACTAAAGTTTTACAACAATTTTGACACCAGTGATCAATTTGAAATGCATTTTATATCTATATATCAATTTTTGTCTAAATTCTTCAGAGCTTATGTTCAACATTTTTCAATATGGTGAATCATAATAAAGTTTTATTTACTTACTTACCATCCCTTAAACTAAAGGTGGTACCAAACACCTTGACTAAAATCAATTTGGCTCGTTTAATTTTCATAAAATTTTGACAAAATATTAACATTGATCCTTTGTCAAAAATATAAAAATTTCAAAAAACTTGAACCACACACTTTATCTGAAATTAATTTCATTGGATATATAGCAGTTTGACAAACACTAATTTTGATCACTAAGAAGCTTAATTTCCTTAACAATAGAAAGTGATTAAAACGTTCAGCTGATTTTTACAGAGTTATCTCCCTGTAGTGTTATGTACAACCTTAAATGTATAATTCAGATTGCTTAATATAAAATATAAAAAAATTTCACACAATTACCTCACAAAATTCATGTCAAAATCAGAGCAAATATAACTGTTTTGTACATAATGAAAAACTTTCAAACTTATTATGAAAAGATGATGATGGATGATGGATGGCTGTTTAGTATCCAGTGGTAAATAAAATACATATTCAGGACGCAAACATCACAATGTGACATGAATTTGAAAAAATCAACAAAAGATTGTAAACTAGGCCACACTGACACATGCCTAATTTGGAAATAAGATGTATATAAACACATACACATGTATCTAATTTTGACTGTCATGTATAGGAAACTGAGCACCAATGACAATTAAAACAAGACCAACACCAATACCAGGTATTATTCACTTCAATAGGAGCCAAGAAAAGTTTGCAACTTTCTTGTACAATGAAACTACCAGCAAACATGAAGTGGCTACACGGCAGATGTAAAAATTGCTTACTTGCAACAACTCAGCATTATCAAGCTGCAGACCAAATATTAATTCATTCCTTTTCATAGAATTAAAGAAAACTTTGACAAAAAGTTTTCTTAATCTTTCAGATGGACAAACAGACAGACTGAGTCAAGTGATTACTTGGCGACGCAGGTAACATTGAATGTTCTACATGAAATTTAATAAATATCACAGATAAAAGATGATGCAGATTATGCAATTATGTACAAAACAAACATGAATTTGAAGTTGAGTTACTTCCCTTGGCCACCATGTTGAAGGTGAAACTAGATGATTTTCTTATTTGACTAACTAAATAACAAGAATGTGTCCACAGATGCCCCACTTGCACTTTCATTTTCTATGTTCAGTGGACCGTGAAATTGGAGTCTAAACTCTTATTGGCATTAAAATTAGAAACATCATATCATAGGGAACATGTGTACTAAGTTTCAAGTTGTTTGGACTTCAACTTCATCAAAAACTACCTTGACCAAAAAGTTTAACCTGAAGCGGGACAGACGGACGGACGGACGAACAGATGCACAGATTGAAAAACATAATGCCCCTAGGTGTGGCATAAAAACAAGGTGTCTAATTATATAGTCATAGACTAGATGGTAGTGATGAGATAAACACTTTTTTTTTACAGATTATAATTGTCAAGAAAACAACTTTTTCTAAATTCCAGCAGCCAGATCATTCGATTTATGAAGGAATTTGTGCATGGTAACCTCCAACTTGGAAGCAAAGGGCAATAACTCTTACTATAGTTATGTCAATTGAAAATTATATTTTGGTGACATTTTTACAATAAAAAACTACAAACAATTGAGCTTCAATATACAAATATGTCTTTGTTACAGATGGTTAATCTCAGTTCACTTAAGCAATCAAATAAGCTACCTTAGAGAAAAAAGAGAAATTCTTTTAAGTATTAATCTCAGAAAAAAATAAGATACAATACTAGGGCTGAAACACTATACCAACCTAATAATTCATTGCAATTAATTATACATTTTTTCTTTAAAAAAAACAGGTAAAATATACCAAAAATTGAAAAAATAGTAATATCATGATAATTTTAAACTGGAATACATTTCTTATTTGTGCAAAAAGAAGTTACCTCCCTTTGGCAGAGAAATTTTCCATTACATTAGATCATTAGCATAACAGTCAACAACTATCACATGTAACAATTAACAACCATTCACCATTATGGTGCAAGTTTAATGAAAATTGTAAAAGATATGACTACAATATATGTTTTAACCTTATTGAGTATATACCTGTGAAACAAAAAAGTTAAGATGTGAAGGTCAACATAATTAACTGTTTCAGAATCTAATGCATTCTGGGTAATATTTTCAAAAGCATACAACAAAATATTGTGATTACTAGTTCACAAATTTCCCAATCAATTGAAGAGCAACCAATGATGTGACAGTATTTTTGTTTTTGAAAATTTTACCCAGAATGCATTAGATTCTGAAACCGTTCATTCTGTTGACATGAATTATCTATAGTCTTTTAGATTCTCAAATGGCAATTTTATTCAAGCTGATGGATTTGTATGTCATAGAAATATAAACGTATATGTCTGAGGAGATCTCAATGGTGAAATGTACAATGAATAGAAAAATTAATAAATAGAAAATGGATATTATTTACAATGCTTATGATTTACAATAAAATATCACATATGACTGGCATTTTGTTCATATAACTGGCATTTGTATGTAACTTGTAATTTTTTCCATTTCTGAATTCCTTATTATCTATTTATATATGTCATTTAAATGAAAACTTAAAATTAAATGCACCAAAAAATACTCAAAATTGTTCCGTCAAAAACTAATAAATTTCCTCAGACTACATGCAGATTCAATTAAATAGCACCTTTTAATATCCAGCATTGATAAGAGTCAAAGTATGTTCCAAATGACACAGACTTCAGGGGCGGATCCAGTATTTGAGGTTAGAGGGGTGCAAACTTAAATTTTTTTGAGATAAAATTATCGAAATATTCTTTATTAAGCTGAGGACAACCCATGCTTTGCAAATTTTAGGGGGGCGCACGCCCGCCATGCCCCTGCCTGAATCCGCCCCTGCACTTAAACTACTAGACAACTCTTATTTTTCATCATATTCTTTAATGGCCAACGGTATGGAAGCTCAGAAACAGTTTGTACATCACTATTACAATCTTGTAGAAGGAAGCATATGATTTTCAATTTCTGTTTGTTTAAATCCACCATTTTCATAAGCATTGTGTTCACTAGTGTTATTTCCTGACACAGTCCGATAGTCTGGTGGATTGTCAGACACTAAATTTTGTTGTGACGAGTGAATATTTGGCTCATCATATTCTTTGCCACTGGAGTCTATGAAATTTGACTTATTCTTTTGTTGTTCCTCATATAGTTTGGCTTTGTTCAACGGTGGACCTAGAAAATAGAAAGCCAAAAAAATGTATTGCAGCATTTTCGTTAATGGAAAAAAAATTATCATTATTTTTCATTTATTCAATTGAATATGCTTTTTGGGCATATGTTTCTAATTGCCAACTTGATATCTTTAATATTTTCATGAACCAGTTTATTTCCATGAATATATAACAACAGAATGTGTCCACGGGATACAGATGCATGCCCCTGCTTGTAAATATGCAAAGTCAATGTACTAATTTATCCCTATTGTCCTTTTTATTTCTTTAAAACTTAAAGACATTTGTTTGGTGGTAATGAGCTTTGTGTATAAGTGTCATAACATTTGGTTGTGGCAAACTAAAGTTAGAGAATTCAGGTTGTATGTAATGCCTATGCCACTCATTGAATAAACAGCTGCGCCATGAGTGCATGATACGCCCGTCGTCTTGTGTGTGAATTTTTATGCAATAATCATAAATAGTTTCCGACTGAGGCGCGACATGCGAAAACCCCCCTTTTTTTTTATACAAAAAACTCAATATCTCTAAAATGAAATTTTGAATCAAAACCAAAAAGTATACAGATCCTTAGATTATTATAACTTAGAAGTGTGTAAAATTTTAAGTAATAATCATAAATCGTTTTTGAGATACGGCGCGACATGTGAAAACCCCACTTTTTTTTACAAAAAACTCAATATCTCTAAAATAAAATTTTGAATCAAAACCAAAAAGTATACAGATCTTTAGATTAATATAACTAAGAAGTGTGTAAAATTTTAAGTAATAATCATAAATCGTTTTTGAGATATGGCGCGACATGTGAAATACCCCTCCCCCTTTTTTTACAAAATACTCAATAACTCAAAAATAAAATTTTGAATCAAAACTAAAAAGTATACAGATCTTTAGATTAATATAACTAAGAAGTGTGTAAAATTTTAAGCAATAATCATAAACCGTTTTTGAGATACGGCGTGACATGTGAAAACCCCACTTTAAAAAAAAAAAAAATCAATATCTCAAAAATAAAATTTTGAATCAAAACCAAAAAGTATACAGATCAGATTAATAAAACTAAGAAGTATGTAAAATTTTAAGCAATAATCATAAATCGTTTTTGAGATACGGCACGACATGTGAAAAAAAACACATACCTGTTTTAGTTACTAAGTCCCGTAACTCAAAAAGTTTTAATCTTATTTTCACCAAAAAGTATACAGATCGTTTGACCATCATAAGAAACAACTATGTTAAGTTTCATGAAATTTGGATAAGTCATTCTCAAGTTACGGTGCGACATGTTTACGCCTGACAGACAGACGGACAGACAGACAGATGGACGGACGCCGGACATTTGTATACCATAATACGTCCCGTCAAAAATTTGACGGGCGTATAAAAACCACACACCTGTTTTAGTTACTAAGTCCTGTAACTCAAAAAGTTTTAATCTTATTTTCACCAAAAAGTATACAGATCGTTTGACCATCATAAGAAACAACTATTTTAAGTTTCATGAAATTTGGATAAGTCGTTCTCAAGTTACGGTGCGACATGTTTACGCCGGACAGACGACATTTGTATACCATAATACGTCCCGTCAAAATTTTGACAGGCGTATAAAAACCACACTATACGTTCTGTGAATACAAAATCTATAATAAGATATTTTCTTTTTTCTTTACGTAATACTGTGAATTCATTTATTTTTGTGGCGACCTGAATTTTCATGGAATTTTGATTTTATGGTTTTGCCAAAGTGTCAGCATACAATCCTTTAGAAAATGAGTATTTCATTGAACATTTAAATTTGTGATTTACCTATACTCATGAAAACCATTAAAAAAATTGTACTTAATAAATAGTAATGAATTAACAGTATGAATTAATATAGAGGATAACAAACAGCTGATGCTCATTCTATGGCTTCCAACAATAAGCATATCAGAACATACTGTGTTGAAGACCCATTGGTGGCCTTGGGCTGTTTTCTGCTCTTTGGTCGGGTTGTTGTCTCTTTGACACATTTCCCATTCCCTTTCTCAATTTTATTCTTTCATTTTTTTTTCTCCCCAACAATTTTTGAAAATGGTACTGTGAAAAATTAAGCAGCATCAGGGGTAGTTGGCTACTATTTTTATTATGTTTCTCTCCCTGTTTATTTTTGTGTTACATAATTTCAGAAATTATTTTGTGCATTCATTATTGCGACTGTTGGACAATCGACACACATGTAAGTTTAATTATTTTGTGCATTCATTATTGCGACTGTTGGACAATCGACACACATGTAAGTTTAATTATTTTGTGCATTCATTATTGCAACTATTGGACAATCGACACACTTGTAAGTTTAATTATTTTGTGCATTCATTATTGCGACTATTGGACAATCGACACACATGTAAGTTTAATTATTTTGAATTCAAAAAATACAGCATACAAATAATGCTATCAAAATATAAAAAGCAAATTTTATTTTTGTAACACCTATTTCATTGCATTTGTGCAAAATTAACAAGTGAAACTGCGAGCTACTGCTCACTGATGATACCCCCAGCCCAAATATTTGACGGTAAACAGGAAGTTGTTAAGTGATTAATCTGAAAACGCATCACACGGTATAGCTGACTTATATAAACCCTGAAACCAAATTTCAGAAATCCTTGTCAAGTAGTTCCTGAGAAAAATGCGACGAAAATATTCATGGGACAGACAGACTGACGGATTGACGGAAGGACAGACAGAGGTAAAACAGTATACCCCCCCTTTTTTAAAGCGGGGGTATAAAAACATTGCAAAATCATTTGAATTTACAGTAACTATCTTTGCACATGACCAATAGGATATTCCTACTTTCAAGAATAAAAAATTTTAAAAGTGCCAATCTGCCTAAGAATCAGGCAGTGGTGAAAACATGACAACAAAAACCCACTCAAGTTGACATTAATTTATGTTCAAAATGTATAATGGTGCACGAATACATGTATAACATTCGTTTCCTTTTCCTGTCCTGGTAATTCAAGATATAATGTGGTTGAAATGCACTAGAAATTAACAATTAAGGGGAGCTAACTCCATAATTTGCTATCATTCTAACCAAAAGTTATCTAAGAGATTTCTCAAATTAACCAGACACACAGAAATGAAAGACCTATCATTTCTTACTCAGGTTGAGGGTAACTTCAAAATAGGATGGTTAGGTGTGTTTTTTTTTCAGACATGTTTTGATTTTTTTCAAAATTGCCTGATTCTTACAAAGACTGGCACTCAAAAATCTACTTACCTATATAACTGAGTAATACTGGTAAGAAAATAAGACCATGTGACGCACCAAATACTACCATTCCTAAATACATTCTGAAGTAAAATACTTGGAATAGCTGTGACTTAGCAAATGCTAAAACTATAATTCCTCCTAGTTTTGTTAAGGTTATACCACTAAATACCTGAAAAGAGAAATAATTATTTAATCACACACTAATATCACAACCAAATTATGTATAAAGGGTTAAGGCAACAGTAGTTTAGCAATGTTAAAATTTCGTAAATCATTTAACACGAGACATATCAAAGTGACAAACAAAAACTGAGGGAATTGGATGAACTCCAAAAGGAGCAAGACCAGGTACGTTGACAGGGTAATTATAAAAAAGAAGATGTGGTATGATTGCCAATGAGACAACTCTCCACAAGAGAACAAATGACACAGAAATTAACAACTATAGGTCATCGTACGGCCTTCAACAATGAGCAAAGCCCATACCGCACAGTCAGCTATAAAAGGCCCCGAAATGACAATGTAAAATAATTCAAATGAGAAAACTAAAGGCCTAATTTATGTACAAAAAATGAACATGACTCCTGCTATGGAGGATAAAAACAGGATTAATTAATTTATCTTGTGTAAAATGAATCATGTGAAAATTTTTTTTTTAATGAGATGAGAGTAAAAATCTGTAAAATTACTGATTTTACAATCTACCACTGAAGATATTCAATTCATTGTAATATGCAGTATTTTGTGTACGGCAGAAACTAATTTATCAATTCTTTGTTTTTTTCAATAGAGTCATTGTTTTTTTATTACTCTTTTCTTAAATCTCTAATAATGTATATATAGATCAGTCTACTTTGTTGGATAAGAATCTTATTTTACACTTACTGAGCTCCCCATATGAGCTAGAGCCTCCTCAATTCATTCTACTCTGTTTTACAAGAATGTTATTTTACACTTACTGAGCTGCCAACATGAGCTAGAGCCTCCTCAACTTATTCTATTCTGTTTGATAAGAATATTATTTTACACTTACTGAGCTGCCCATATTAGCCAGAGCCTCTTCAGCTCGTTTTTTTCTGTTTGGTTTCAGACTGACAGCAAAAGCTCTTACAATGTGAGCACAAAACTCTACAGCTATACCAACAGCCTAAAATATAGTAAGATTTGATCAATTTAGAGCAAATTTAAACAGATGTGATGCAACTCAAAATCCAAAAATAGTATTTCAAGAGAGATAACTCTGTTTTCCCTCTGTTTCCATGTATAGGTCTTTTCGAAAATTGTCAATTGTTCCTTTGTTGGTTTTTTCTTTAAACCAATTGATAAATATGGTATAGAAAACCCTTATCACAATCAAAATTTTGATAATGATTGAGACTTGGGCTTTAAGGAATTATATGAAATTAAATGATAAAAAATTTCAATAATAGTGTATCAAAGAATATTCTTAAAGTAGGTTTAACATTATACATTTGGCAATTGTCATATGGGATTTTAGTGTTTATTTCACTGATCTTTGGTTGTATTTGATGAATTCCATCACAAGCAGCAAGACCTGGACAGTCTGCTCATTGAATTTGGATTATACCCTTAGCTCTATTTAATTAGGCCCTGAAGTGACCTTATAAAATGGCAAATTTGTTACTGTGGATTCATTTATTTTCGTGGGTACCAATTTTCGTGGATTGAGGAAAACTTACATTTTCATGGATATTTAATTTTGTGGTTTTGCCAAAGTCGGCATACAAGCCTATAGAAAATTAATAATTCGTTGAACATTTAAATTCATGGTTCACCTGTTCCCACGAAATCAAAAAAAATCGGTATTCAATGAATAATAACAAATCCACAGTATTTTGGGTTGGTGTCTCCTTCATGTATATCCACTATTTCCTTTCATTCATATTAATCCTATTTTACTCACCATAACAAGATTGACCAGTGTCACAGCGTTGAGGTCAATCTCCCACAAATACATCATACCACATATATCTATCACGATCATGAGAACAGTCAGTACTACTAACAATGCAGAAATAAAGTCAAATCCGAGAAGAATGAAAGTGACAACAAAGATGGCTACAAGACATAGTCCCAGATTTAATATTGTGTCATCAACAACGGTCAGGTACTGCTCATAGTAAACATAGAAAATACTGGAAATAAAAATATCTATCATGATCATTTATGTTATTTTCACTTGGATAAGTTTGACTTGAGTTTGGTGGCTTAAGGGCATACGATACAGTTACAGGGGAGGTAATGAAGTTGCTAACGTAAAATGTTTTTTTTTGTGACATCAAACTGTGAAATATTGGAAAAAGATGCATTTTTAAACTGATTTTAATCATTTAAGCTTGAAAACAAGCACATGGACCTCTCTTTTTTAATGGACATTTGGCTTGATTATGTACAAAGATTATTTGTACCAATTTTTATTAACAAATCACTGATGAAATATTTAAATCATATAAATGTACATATTTTTTCTAAATTCATGAAAATTTAATGAAAATGGATTCCGTTACACAAATTTACAGCATAATTATGTGAAAGAGATATTTGAAATGATTTCACAAAGATGAGTGTTTATATTTTAAAACAAAAAAGTTAGGTACGGTATATCTAACCAAAGGATAGAAATTTCCAAGAAATCAAAATTTGGAGTAAATGTCTAAAATTTTGACCCCATTTATCTCTAAAAGTAGCACATCAAGGTAAATGTTTCATTACATATTTGAATTGACGAGGTGAAAAATATTTGTATGCAAATTTTCTTTAAAAAATCACAGTGGGATCAAAACTGTATCGTATGTACTTAAGCATTTACTGGTAAATACATGTATTTAAATGTCTTTTACTGTGGCAAGGCTCAAATCAAATTTTCTAATAAACATCACAGATTTTTTATATTATAAAATTTCACAAAAATTAAAACTTGCATTTCAAATTTTGATATCATAATTTTTTAAATTATGAAATATCCTAAATCACAATAACAATTCTTATAATATAGAAATATATGCGATTGCCCTTTTGTTTCTGGATCGTTTCGAGTGGTTGGTTCTTGCATTTTTGTCCATTCCTAACAATCATAATAATAAAAGCAGGCCAAATTTTTTTTGAATTTACAGTATTTATTGTCTATCAATAATAAATCATATCAACAAATGCAAATATTTCTCAGTACCATTGATTATGTTGTAAAAGAGTGTATTTGTTGTATAATCAAAAATTAGAAACAGAAAGTGGAAGACATTTACATATTCCCAGGGAACAATGTGTCGTAGTTGAAATTTATTAGAAGATGAAAATATCTTTTTATTAAATTGTAAAATTGAAAAAGGATTAATAGATATTTATTTTACTGAAATACAAAAAGTATAATCTGAATTTTGTTGATCTGTCATAAAATGTAAAAAAAAACAACACTATACTTCAAACGCGTCAACACCATCAAAACTACATCTATGGTTATTGGTTCTAGACAGAAACTAGCAAAAACAGACCATGTTCTTAATTTGACTGTTGGTAACTCCCACATTAGAGATGTTAATGGCGAAAAGCTCCTAGGGGTTTTTATTGATGAAAATCTTGAGTGGACAGCCCAAATTGACACTTTGTGCACAAAAATCAGTACCAGGCTAAATCTTTTGTCTAGGATAAAGAAATCCCTCCCCCTGGAAACACGAAAGTTATACTTTAATGGTTATATTCTCCCTATTTTGGATTACTGTTGTACAATTTGGGGAAACACCAGTGACCAAAATACAAATAGATTAGATAAACTTCAAAAACGAGCAGCTAGAATTATTCTTGCACTTCCTTATGATACCCCATCTAATACAATGTTTAAAAAGTTATCATGGCTTCGATTTACTGATCGTGTAATTTACCACAAGGCCTTATATGTTCATAAATGTTTATATGGATCTGTCCCAGAATATTTGTCTAACAAAATCTCCTATGTTACAAATAAAAATGGAATGCAACTTAGATCAAATACTACCCAATTACTTAATATACCAAAGGCAAGAACAAACACATTTAGAAGATCTTTTTCATATTCTGGCCCAACTTCATGGAATAAACTACCAGAAGCACTAAGACACATGTCAAACATAAATACTTTTAAAACAAACTGCTTTAAGTTTTTACTTGAAAATCCAGGAATTATTTAAATGATTATGTATCAACTTTGATTATGTTTTCTTATGTTTATCTTTGTTATGATGAAATTGTGTGATGCATTGTGAGTGGAGTGTGAGGGCCTCAAGGGAGAATAGTGTTTGTACTAATTGAGCATACCCTCTTGAAATAAAGATTATTATCATTATTATTAATGTGACAATTTTATTCAGGTTATATTCCTACTAGAGAAAGTCGTTGAATAAATTGCTTGCGAAAATTTCTTCATTTACATAAAATTCAAATGAATATATAAACAAAAACAAACCTATATGGGAAGACACTACTGTTTGATTGTGTTAACTGCATTGTTTTTGTGATGTTATCTCCTATGGTCCTGGCTTCCTTCAAAGCTTTGATGTAATCAGCACTCGTCTTCAGTATGTTATGGTATGTCATAAAGTACGTTGCTAGAAAAGAGCAAATAAAAATTTAGAAGGATTTCTTAATTTTTAAATTTCTTCATAAAAATCAGGCTTCTCCCAAGTCAGGAACCTCTAGCTTTATTAATGTCTTTTTTAAAATTTTGGTTCATTCATATGTTTTGGAGTTTAGTGTGACGTCCATTTTTGCTGAACTAGTATACATTATTGTTTAGGGGCCAGCTGAAGCCCGCCTCTAGGTGCGGGATTTTCTCAGTGTGTTGAAGACCCATTGGTGGCCTTTGGCTGTTTTCTGCTCTTTGGTCGGGTTGCTGTCACTTTGACACATTTCCCTTTTCCATTCTCATTTTTATTTCTGTTATACAATATAGTTATACAATGTAGTTATACAATATAGTTATACAATGTAGTTATACAATATAGTTATACAATGTAGTTATACAATATAGTTATACAATGTAGTTATACAATGTAGTTATACAATATAGTTATACAATATAGTTATACAATGTAGTTATACAATGTAGTTATATAATGTAGTTATACAATGTAGTTATATAATGTAGTTATACAATATAGTTATATAATGTAGTTATACAATGTAGTTATACAATGTAGTTATACAATATAGTTATACAATGTAGTTATACAATGTAGTTATACAATATAGTTATACAATATAGTTATACAATGTAGTTATACAATATAGTTATACAATGTAGTTATACAATGTAGTTATACAATATAGTTATACAATGTAGTTATACAATGTAGTTATATAATGTAGTTATACAATGTAGTTATATAATGTAGTTATACAATGTAGTTATACAATGTAGTTATACAATGTATAGTTATACAATGTAGTTATATAATGTAGTTATACAATGTAGTTATATAATGTAGTTATACAACGTAGTTATATAATGTAGTTATACAATGTAGTTATACAATGTAGTCATACAATGTAGTTTTACAATGTAGTTTTACAATGTAGTTATACAATGTAGTTATACAACGTAGTTATACAACGTAGTTATACAACGTAGTTATACAATGTAGTTACATTATGTATCAAATTATATGTGCTGATATGATCACTTTAAAAACTGCTGGAAACAAGGGACCAACGAATATTTATTAAATGACAGGATTCAAGATTGAAAAATATTCATTCATCTTCAATACTGTAAATTCATAAATTATTGTGCGCATTTATTATTGCAATTTTGTCATTTTAGTCAAAAATGTGATTATTTTTTTTGCTATACTGAGAAAAAATCCTGCTTCATTCATATACAAAAATTCAAAATGCGAGTTTAAATTATTGCGATTACAACCCTGTTGCATTTTTGCCAATAATAAAAACTATCGCAATAAATTCCATATTTACAGTATTGATCAATTTCAGTGCAGAAATATTTTCTACTATGGATTCATTAGTATTTGTGGTATACCAATTATCCTGTATTTCGTGGGTACAGGCAAACCACCAATTAAAATATTCAACAAAGTATAATTTTTCTATAGGCTTGTATGCAGACCTCAGCCAACCCCTGACGTTAAATATCCACGAAAATACGGTTTTTCCTCAATTGATGGAAAATTGGTATCCACGAAAAATAAATGAATCCACAGTAATTAATGTTTCTGCATTCCCAACCAAAAGATGTGATTAATTTTCCCACTTAATCATTGCACATGTTAACTATTGTCCTTTTATCACTTATCCATACCAATTGATATTGGTCAAATATGATTGCCAATGAGACAACTAGTCCAAATGAAGCTGGTTTAAGCAATTATACTAGGTCACTGTACAGCCTTCAACAATGAGAAATACCCATACTGTATATAAAAGCCCCAACACAAATTCAAACTGCTAAAAGCTAAATAAAATGGGAGCATAGGATATCAAGTTTTGAGGGGATGAGGATGAAAACACAATATGACATACCTCCAACATTTGAGTTATTTTTTATCAGGTTTACACCACTACCATAAGCTGCATGTCCTCTGTAATATAAAAGTTTTAAAATAAGACAGTGGCAGGCAGTAATACAAATTCTATATCTGGGGTGAATCCAGGGTTTTGATGAAAGGGGGACATAATTGCGTTAAATGATCAGAATAGCTCAAAGCAAAGTAAGACAAATAATTTTGATGAATCTATGCAGAAAAATTATATATTTTCTAATAAAAAAAGAAGGGGGGATGTATGCCCTCTACAATCCCCTGAATCTGCCACTGCATGTTGTTTTAAAAATAGTGTTTAGAGCTGATAATTGAGGTACATATGGGAAGGATACTGGATAGTTTGACAACACCTGAGTAACAACTCCTAATAGAGGGTCTGCAGGGGATCTGTTATGAAGCTTATTTAATTTCTCACACTACTTGACCAAAATAAACTTTTGGATACTTTTTGTTACTGAGTTTTTGTGTCATTTACATTTACCCTACATCACTTTTTACTTATACAAATCTTACCCTTTTGAGCACTTAACTCCTGGATTATCTTTTAAAAACATTGGTAAATATTTCCTGAAATCATCCACTGAAGGTCGACCATTTGGTAAAGTTTTCACTGGACATACTGAACTCAAATTTATATTAACTGAAAAGAAAGATTTTTATTTGAATTCGATATAAAACGAACATCACATTTGCTTGGCAAAACCTATCAGAATTTTTGATCCTCAATGCTCTTCAACTTCGTACTTTATTTGGCCTTTTAACTTTTTTGATTTGAGCATCACTGATGAGAATTTTGTAGACGTACAAAATTATACGCCTGGTATCTTTGATGAGTTTTTTTAGTGAAATGGTTCTATGTTTTTTATGTCTGTATATTTTCTATGAGATGGTACATCTACCAGGGGTTAAAAAATCCACTAGCCCGACGCCCGGGACTCAGCATTTAGGCCTCGGGCAACCAAAACTTGTAACCCAATATGCCCGACGGACTAGTAACAAAAAAATCTTGGCGTTTCCAAAATAAAAAGTGGAAAATCCACACATCACTATTCTATCTTAGAACAGATTCAACTACATCATCCGGGATTCCCAGAATTTGAACTGATTTTGTACAAGTTTTAAAATAGAACAAATAACTCTGGGTGGATCCCGTACTTACAATATCGATTTGTCAGTACAGGGGGTATTGTACATTGCTTATGCAACCAGAGAAATATAATGTAACCGGACTGTACCTCCTTCTGAATAATTTATTGCAATATAAATGTGAATCCCTTATGACAGGAGAAACCTGACTTTTGTCAGATATAAATTTGTAACATGTGCACATGTTATGGAGGCCATTTTGTTTTTGTTTACATACTGTGAAGAAGCCTCCAGAACCATGACCTAAACATTAACAGTCTTCAGAAAACTTAAACTTGATGCAATAATATTTCATCAATCATGATTATCTTCATTGATATTCAAATAAATTTGATTTTTAAAGAAATAAAATTTATAACAAATACAATTTCAGTTTACAGACTGTACTCAGTTTGTAATCCATTTATAGCCCACAATTAGCTTACCTGTGATAAATGAGGGTAGTAATGCCCTTTACCGTCAGGCGTCAAACGGTCATTTACGGCTACCGTTAGCGTCAAATTGGTTACAATTTTAGCGTGATTCATCAAAATATCCTTATAGTGACTCGTCAGAGGTATCAAATAATTATCGTTACCGTTATTTTTGGAAAAAAATTAACGTGATTCGTCAAAATCAGTCGATTTTTTTATCCGTTGTACAGTAGATTTTTGCAAATCGGACACCGAAAACTTATGTCAGCAAAAAAATATCCCAGTAGCATGAATAGCAGATATATTCAATTAATCGATAATTGTATATTCATGGAATATTCTGTAATAATGAGTTGACCAAATCCTGAGATGGTACAAGTCTTGACCACCGCTAAAGAAAGGGTACATTTTATCGTCATGCACCAACAATTACCGTTAACGTCATTTGGCAAGATTTTTTACCGTTATTCGTCATGAAGGTACCCTCATAAATGTAAATATGGATATTACTGTACCTCGTTTATAATGTATCTGATAAAAATCACTCCAATCCTTTTATATAACCATGTAAAGCAGTGGTCAAGACTTGTGCCATCTCAGGATTTGGTCAACTCATTATTACAGAATATTCAATGAATATACAATTATCGATTAATTGAATATATCTGCTAATGGGATATTTGTTTGCTGACATAAGTTTTGGGTATCCGATTTGCAAAAATCTACTGTACAACGGATAAAAATTGTTAAGTTTATAGAATTATTTGTATTATACAGCAAACTCTGGATTTGTAAGGCATACTCGGGCTAGCAGGTCAGTTTTGTTGGGCTAGTAGTTCTTCCAACAGGGCTAGTAAAATCCAACCACCAATTAGCCCTGGGCTAGTGAGCTATAACAAAATTTCTTAACCCCTGATCTACTTATAAAAATTTTATATGTCTATCTGCCATTTTGTTTTTCTTTGTTGACATATTCGTTTGTTTTTATAGTGATTAATTAGATTATAACACAATTTTGACTGCTGTACCCCTATTTTTGACATTTTTACCTATTATGTCGGTTTGTTTTGTTCACACATTGTTTTCAATATAATGGAATTTTATGCGATCGTCATACAAGTGAAAGGTTTAGCTAGCTATAACTATATAAATTTTGCCATTTGATAAGGGACTTTCCGTTTTGAATTTTCCTTGGAGTTTGGTATTTTTGTTATTTTACTTTTTGATAATTAAAACAACAAGAGTGCACATGCTGAAATGTCTCGCCTTCTTTACTAATCATTGATATTATGTTGAAAGTCCTAAATATAAAGCTTTATTACAACTGTCACATAAACTTAACATTAACCAAGTAAACTAAACATTGACCAATGAACCCTGAAAATGAGGTCAAGGTCAGATGAACCATGCTAGGCAGGTATGTACAGCTAACAATTCTTCTATACAACAAATATAGTTGACCTATTGCTTATAGTTTAAGAAAAACAGACCAAAACACAAAAACTTAACACTGAGCAATGAACCTTGAAAATGAGGTCAAGGTCAAATAAAACCTGCGTGACTGACATATAGATCATAAAATATTTCCATACACCAAATATAGTTGAACTATTGCATATAGTATTAGAATAAAAGACCAAAACTCAAAAACTTAACTTTGACCACTGAACCATGAAAATGAGGTCAAGGTCAGATGACACCTTCCAGTTGGACATGTACACCTTACAGTCCTTCCATACACTGAATATACTAGACCTATTGCTTATAGTATCTGAGATATGGACTTGACCACCAAAACTTAACCTTGTTCACTGATCCGAGGTCGAGGTCAAGTGAAAACTGTCTGACGGGCATCAGGACCTTGCAAGGTACGCACATACCAAATATAGTTATCCTATTACTTATAATAAGAGAGAATTTAACAATTACAAAAAATTTAACTTTTTTTTCAAGTAGTCACTGAACCATAAAAATGAGGTCAAGGACATTGGACATGTGACTGACGGAAACTTCGTAACATGAGGCATCCATATACAAAGTATGAAGCATCCAGATCTTCCACCTTCTCAAATATAAAGCTTCTAAGAAGTTAGCTAACGCCGCCGCCGGATCACTATCCCTTCGTCAAGCTTTCTGCGACAAAAGTCGCAGGCTCGACAAAAATCAATTACAAAAAAAATAGCTGATTTATAAATACAACTTTTACTAATAATATATCTGTTTGAAAAAGATCATTTTTAGTAAAAGTTCTGAATTCAAATAATATCGGACTTATCTCCCTTACCTGGTTCAGTGGCAGTACAGAAACTACCATTATTGAACAGTCTACAACAGGGAGGATTCCCTCCAGGTGACAACCAATCAAAGAAGTCATCTATCCAAGAAGATGTTGGCTGGGCTATATATGTACTGAAATAAAATGGTACATATATTATTGAACAGTCTACAACAGGGTGGGTTCCCTCCAGGTGACAACCAATCAAAGAAGTCATCAATCCAAGAAGATGTTGGCTGGGCTATATATGTACTGAAAATAAAATGGTACATTTATTCTATAATTAACTTAATACTGATATTCAAATAGATCTTATTACTACTGTAAATTCAGAAATTATTGTGTGCATTTATTATTGCGATTTTTGAAGAATAGACAAAAATACCAGATTAATTATTGCGATTTCAGGAAAATCTGCATACAGATATCAGAATGCTAGTTCTTATTATTGTGATACTCACCCAGTTGCATTATATTTTTATTCGCAATAATAAAAACCTCGCAATAATTTCAGAATCTACAGTATTTCAAAATCTACATTCTACAATACTTAACACAAGAGTTTGTGACACTTAAACTATTAACATCATACAACAATCACTTTTCCTTTATAGCTTGAGAATTTTTCAGAGCAGATTTAGGGCAAACATTTATGGTTAATGCATACACTTTTTACATATCGCACTTCAAACGTTACCTAGTTTGGGCCCCCCCCCCCCCTCTTTTTCAAAATCCTTGATTTGCGTCTGATTTTCACTTGTGACATCAAAATTTGAAGAGAACGGATCTGATGTCTAGTTATGGTGGACAAATAGCCATAAGGTCTATTGAAATTTTTATATCAAATAGAATTCAATCTGAAAATCATGCAGCAACTTGTTCAGAAAAGAATGTTTATTGACATCAGTGAAATCACTTTGTCATAGTTTCACTCCAAATAACTCTTAAATATGACATTTTTACATCAATCAACAAGAAACTAGGTCCAGTTTCCATGAGAAGGCCACATATGGGCATTGTGACAATGAAATGGTCAAATTCTACCCTATAGTCAACTGTGGTCAAATTTTCTGTTTTTAAGTTAAAACATAATAAGTTACTTTGGTATATATACAAAAATAATTTTAAAAATTTTAAAATCTCATTTATATATGGGCAATACATTGAGTTTTGCAATACTCTTTCAAATTGTAAGTGAAGATGTCTATGGGTATTTTTTTACAATATATTATTAATCTTTTGTATCTAACTTTTCGCTTTCTTCTTTTTGAAAACTAGCACCTATAATATATTACTATGAATGACCATCATGAGTTTAAGACACCAGTCCTCCCCTTGACACTCAGTTCTCATCTCCTATTTTTACTTACTAGTTAGCTTGTTTACTGGCAGTGTAGATCTGACCGACCAGAGATTCCTGAGGACAACCGTTCCCCCCACACAGAGCATTCTCCCCTTGACCCTCAGTTCTCGTCTCCTATTTTTACTTACTAGTTAGCTTGTTTACTGGCAGTGTAGATCTGACCTACCAGAGATTCCTGAGGACAACCGTTCCCCCCACACAGAGCATTCTCCCCTTGACCCTCAGTTCTCGTCTCCTATTTTTACTTACTAGTTAGCTTGTTTACTGGCAGTGTAGATCTGACCGACCAGAGATTCCTGAGGACAACCGTTACCTCCACACAGAGCATTCTCCCCTTGACCCTCAGTTCTCGTCTCCTATTTTTACTTACTAGTTAGCTTGTTTACTGGCAGTGTAGATCTGACCGACCAGAGATTCCTGAGGACAACCGTTACCTACACACAGAGCATTCTCCCCTTGACCCTCAGTTCTCGTCTCCTATTTTTACTTACTAGTTAGCTTGTTTACTGGCAGTGTAGATCTGACCGACCAGAGATTCCTGAGGACAACCGTTACCTCCACACAGAGCATTCTCCCCTTGACCCTCAGTTCTCGTCTCCTATTTTTACTTACCAGTTAGCTTGTTTACTGGCAGTGTAGATCTGACCGACCAGAGATTCCTGAGGACAACCGTTACCTCCACACAGAGCATTCTCCCCTTGACCCTCAGTTCTTGTCTCCTATTTTTTACTTACTAGTTAGCTTGTTTACTGGCAGTGTAGATCTGACCGACCAGAGATTCCTGAGGACAACCGTTACCTCCACACAGAGCATTTTCACCAGCTAAAGATGTATAGTTGTGTCCTTCTCTAACAACATAGTATACAGGCGGACCAACATGGAGGTACTCAGACAAATTACCGAAGTAGTCTAGTACATAGGAATCCTGCAAAAATAATGTTAAAAGAAACTTTAACATTATTCCTTTGTTTGAGAAAAAGTTGTACATTAAGAATTGTTAATTTCTGGGTTAAACATTTGCATATTCAATGCATAGAACAAATTTTGCATGCCTGTAGTAAACAAACCTTTGTTATTGTCAAAACATGTCAAAGAATTTGATAACTTTAATATAAACGTACATTGTAGTTTTCAAAACATAAAAGCGATCAATGCAGTGTCAAGTACAGATGTTTACACAAGGTTGTTTCTTGAAGGTCTTAACACACTCTTTCCCTCTTGAAAAAATCTAGTCAGTTTTATCAATAGAGAAAAATGAAATTCAAGACAACCTAAAACTGAGAATCTCCAAGGCATGCTAATTAAAGCCATCACAAGCTGTGTAGATTTGTACAGGAACTTCTTTGGAAGAAAGAAAAGAAGTTAGCAGTATCCTTTAACTTCACTTTCCGCTATATAGATGATGTTCTCTCACTAAATAATTAAAAATTTGGTGACTATGTTGAACGAATCTATCCCATCGAACTTGAGATAAAGGATACAACAGATACGGTTTAGTCTGCCTCATATCTTGACTTATATCTAGAAATTGATAAAAAGGGTCGATTGAAAACAAAACTTTACGACAAAAAAGATGATTTCAGCTTCCCAATTTGTGAACTTTCCATTTCTATGTAGCAACACTCCAGCAGTGCCCGCAATCTGAGTATATAACTCCCTGTTGATACAATAATCCAGGGCTAATGTATTTCCTTTCATGATATAGGTTTGCTGCTCACAAGGAAGCTATTAAACCAAGAGTTCCAAGTGATGAAGTTGAAATCATCCCTTTGTAAATTGTACGGATGCCATCACAAGTTGGTTGATCGTTATGGAATATCCATTTCACAGAAGACAACGGATATGTTCCAATTGTCTTAACTACAATCCTGTTCCCTTAATTTTCCTTGATTGTGACCTACCGAATGAGACTTATCACTAGGTTTGTACTAACATGAGCAACACGACGGTTGCCACATGTGGAGCAGGATCTGCTTACCCTACCGGAGCACCTGTGATCACCCCCAGTTTTTGGTGGGGTTCGTGTTGCTCAGTCTTCAGTTTTCTATGATGTGTTTTATGTACTGTTGTTTGTCTGTTTTCTTTTTTTTGCCATGGTGTTGGCAGTTTATTTTAGACATATGAGTTTGAATGTCCCTTTGGTATCTTTCGCCTTTCTCTTGTACAGAACATGTGAAAATGAGGCTGTGGGAAAATTGTAGATAATGTTATATTTTAGAGGTCATCATTATCTATAAACTTACATCAGGCATAGAGAGCTTCTGGTCAAGACCAACACCAATTTTATGTAGAACAGCTACACTGCCAAAGAAGTACAGGGTGAAAACTACAACCTGAAAAGAAAATACAGCAACCCTTTTTATTTTTAGAGTAATAAAAGAACAGAGTTCCAATGTCCCCCACGTTGCACATATTTTATCTGTTCTGTCCAAAGGCAATAACTCAAAAAAAACTTTTTAAATTATTTAACTAGAGAGTTGAGGACTTGAGAACAATTTCCGATATATTTAATATTTCCAAGGGAAACTCATTAAAACTATTTGATCCGCACTGATTTCCGAAATTTTCCGAGACATTGCTGTTATATACCTTTGATACCAATTTGATAAATTTTATTATTTAGCAAAAATTGTACATGTGAGAGCACTTACAATACAAATTTCCATATGATTTATATTTCTAAGGGCATTACTCTTTTAAAAATAGTTGTGCGGGGGACAATAAAAGAGTCAATATCAATACTCTCAATAGGATTATATTTTAAGTACTAATTCATTCATCACATTTCTAATATCATTTTTACTTTCCAATCGCTGCATATTATTTCTTGAAATATCTAGACATTAGTTGGCTGTTTGAGATTTTAAAATGTTCTAATTTAAACAGCCATCATTGAATAAAACTGAGAATGGAAATGGGGAATGTGTCAAGGAGACAACAACTCGACCGAAGAGCAGAAAACAGCCGAAGGCCACCAAATTGGGTCTTCAACACAGTGAGAAAATCCTGCACCCAGAAGCAGGCTTTAGCTGGCCCCTAAACAAACGTGTACTACTTCAATGAAAATGGACGTCACACTAAACTCCAAAACATATAAATGAACTAAAATTAAAAAACATACAAGACTAACAAAGGCCAGAGGCTCCTGACTTATCATTGAAGTCTGTATGTTCCCCTTAAGATGTCTTTTGGCGATTTACATTTTTGGGTTGCTGTCTCATTTCCTTAAAACTATAACTAAAACCATGAGCCAACATTATTATTTTCTTCATTTCTTTTAATTTTCACTTGTAATTCAAGAAAAAGTTATATTCTTCAATCAGATATAACAGAGGGTGTGGATGGGGGTCCTTTGTTTCTGTATTCTTTAATTTTTTAAGCCATTTTTTTCTGTTCTTTATACTTTTGCCCATTATTCTCTGTTCTTTATTTTTTTGGTCCATTTTTCTCTATTCTTTATATTTTTTACCCATTATTCTCCATTCTGTGAATCCCCATTCACACCCTCATGACAATTTCTGTCACATGTGACTTTTATTTGATGGATGTGATTCTAATTAATATTTGAAATAATTATTTACTTACAATAAATGGTCGAACAAAAATATGCAAAACGAATGGAGCATAAAAATTCTTGGTCAAATAAAATAGCCATCCTTCCTGTTTCTCCAGTTTACTACGGGAAAGCTTAGCACAGCAAATTACGTCATATCTTGAATCCTGTAAAATAAAGGGGAGATAATCACATAAAATAGCCATCCTTCCTGTTTCTCCAGTTTACTACAGGAAAGTTTAGCACAGCAAATTACATCATATCAGGTATCCTGTCAAATAAAGCGGAGATAATCACATAAAATAGTCATCCTTCCTGTTTCTCCAGTTTACTACGGGAAAGTTTAGCACAGCAAATTACATCATATCTGGAATCCTGTAAAATAAAGGGGAGATAATCACATAAAACAGCCATCCTTCCTGTTTCTCCAGTTTACTATGGGAAAGTTTAGCACAGCAAATTACATCATATCAGGTATCCTGTAAAATAAAGCGGAGATAATCACATAAAACAGCCATCCTTCCTGTTTCTCCAGTTTACTACGGGAAAGTTTAGCACAGCAAATTACATCATATCTGGAATCCTGTAAAATAAAGAGGAGATAATCACATAGACCAACTAATCATGTGGATTTTGTCATTTACTCCTGCCTGGGAATCTCTCTCCTGCTCTCTAACTTTAACCCTAAGATTTTAAGAATATATTGAATTCAAAAGGTTTAGTCATTATTCAATGGTATTGTATGCACTAGCCTTTTAATCACGAAATGTTAAGTCCATAGAGGGACCTTCGAAAACTTTTTGGAAACTCTTATAATAATACATGTTTGTACTTTTTTTTTTTATTGATTGATTGTTGGTTTTTAATGCCACTTTCAGAATACTTGGTTACATCATGGCAGTCAGTTTTTATTGGTGGATAAAGCAAGAGACCCTGAGAGAACCAAGACCATTGCCAGGAAAACTGGCAATCCTAGTCAATTAAAATCAGTCAAAAGTAAAATAACAAAAAAACCAAACTCCAAGGAAAATTCAAAATGGAAAGTCCTTTATCATTCTTTTGATTCATGTAATAAATTTCATACACTAATTATCGCAAGACCCGTAACACTTACCTCCTGTCGTTTGGCATCCAGTGTCATTAGTCCAATAAATACTGTTATCTGAAGCAGGAAGTCAAACAAAACCGCCAGAGCCGCATAAAGGGAGAAAACTCTAACTGCTGGCATGTCTGTTAGAGCACCTGTTAAGAAAAGATGAAAGATTTATATGTAAAGACAGAAAACTCCTACTGTAGGTATGTCTGTCAGGGCACCTACTAAGAAAAGATGAAAGATTTATATGCAAAGGGATAAAACTCTTACTGCAGACATGTCAGAAAGGGCACCTGTTGTGTACATAAGAAAGATTAATATGTAAAGGGAGAAAACTCTTCTGGCAGAAGTCTGTCAAAGTACCAGATCTATATGGAAAAAAACTCAGACATGTCTATCAAGGTCTTTAATGCAACTGCTTTTTAAAACTACAATGGCCATTATGGGGTTCTTCCTAGTCAAAATTAAGACATTTCATATGGTCCAATCAAGTGTTAAAAAAATACACTTCATCAAAATTTAATTCATTGTGTAATGATGAAGTACCAGTAGTCAAGTGGCCCCACTCCAAATGATGAGGAAATCTAGATTTATGAAATTATTCAAAGACAAGCAATAGAAATAAGAAGATGTGGTACGAGTGCCAATGAGACAACTCTCCATCCAAGTCACAATTTGTAAAAAGTAAACCATTATAGGTCAAAGTACGGCCTTCAACACTGAGCCTTAGCTCACACCCAACAGCAAGCTATAAAGGGCCCCAAAAATGACTAGTGTAAAACCATTCAAACAGGAAAACCAAGTCTAGTCTATATAAAAACGAGAAATGAGAAACACTTATGAACCACATCAGCTCATTCTTTGAGTCTGAATTCAGACAATATACTTAATACTGGTAGGATTTATTGAACTTTTCTATCCAATGACTTTAAGACGGGTTTAAAACAAAATAAAGAGCACTTACACTTTAATATCATATTAAAAATACAAAATATAAAAAAAAGAAAAATCCAGTCTAATGCTGCAGAGCTGCTAACCAATATAGAACTACAAGCTCTGCTTCCAGACCAGACATATGGTATATCAGATTATGCTCATTTTATACCTGTTATATCGATAAAGTCTTTCTTCACTACGGTTTCTTATATTTGCATACATAATTAGATAGGGGAGACAATCTAAACAATCAAATCAATTTTTTTGGATCAGATGTTATACCAGAGTGTAACATTACAAAGAGGATATTTAATACCATTTATTATGTTTAAGGTGGTACCCAACACCTTGACTAATATTAATTTGGCTCGTTTAATTTTCATAAAATTTTGACAAAATGTTTACTTTGTCCCTTTGACAAAAATATAAAAATTTCAAAAAATTTGAACCAACCACTTTATCAGAAAAATTTCTTTGGTTATATAGCAATTTGACAAACACTAATTTTGATCATTGAGAAGCTTAATATTTCCTTAACAATACAACATAATTAAAACGTTTAGCTGATTTTTACAGAGTTATCTCCCTGTAGTGTTAGGTACCACCTTAAACGGCAACTGTGTTCATTGAATTTACATTACCATTAAAAATGTATAAAATTTTTATAAATGATGTAGTAAATCATTAGTAGGGAGATAGGAAAAAGGGGGGGGGGGTTACATCCATATCCTTGTTTTTATTCTTTCTTTGAATTCTCTGATGGCTTCATAAACCTCTTCTTACTCTCTTTTTTCCAGATTACAGTCCAAATTTGATACATGTAATAAGTTTTTTTCTGAAACAGTCTTTAAAAAATTGTGTTATGAGCCTGAGAAGGGTTTTTCTTTATTCCTTATTCCAAATTACAATTACACATATAGTTCTTACATATTTATATTTAAAAAAAAATCACCCAGCAATTCTGCTTAAATCTTCAATCTGCAAATTCTTTTCAGCTCATGAAAATGTAACCAAATGCATATTTGAATCACATTCACTCATGATAAATTTGACAGGGGTTTCCTATTGACATTAACTGATAAATGACTGTATGGGTATCTATTTATTTTAATATACTTGCAACTTCGACAGAAATGTGGTTGAAATCAAGAAGATTTTGTCAACTTTTTGGCCAATTTAAGGTATAAATAGTAGGGATGCACTACTGTAACAACAGCCCATGAAAAGGCCGTGAAATGTCTGTGAAATATCACAGGGCCGTGAAAACCCCGTGACTTTTGTAAAAAAAATATTTCTAAAGGCCGTGAAAAATATTTGATGTTAGAAAAAGACCGTGAAATTTCAATATCCCGTGAAAAGGCCGTGATAATTTGACCTTTCATGCTTAATAAAAAATATCACGGCCTTTTCACTGGTTGTTGAAACCAGTGAAAAGGCCGTGATATTTTTTCATGTCAATTTTTTCTTATCCTAATTCAGATTTAAAACATCCCATATGATTATTGTAATATGGTCTAATTATTTCCAATCACATTTTTCCTAATATCCTATAAACTTTTCATTATAAATATATGTCTGTTTAAATATTATTATATGCAATACTACTGTACAGGACTGACTTTTAAATGGAACCATTTTCATTGTTATAATTAATGACTTTGTGCCAATAAATATTTTGTATTTAAAGAAAAGTATTTTGCTTCTCGTCTGTACATTATTATAAACAATGTAAACATTAATTTTAATTGGAACCGAAACATGTAAAAACGAGAACTTCCCGGAATATCAGACCGTATCCGGATTCGTGTTTCTTTTTAGAGTAATTGTAACATTTCCGCAAGGTTGCATTTGGAAATTTGAAAGACGCCAAAGGTCGATTAATATTTACATTATAGATGCAAGACGAGTGACAGCAAGTTTGAGGTAAGTTAAGTTATTAATATTTTATTCTTTTATGCATCATATCACCAAAATGTTGATGACGTTTGTGAGCATTTCCATTGAACTGATTTTCACTGAATTTGCAGAAACCGCGCAAACATGCATGTGATATATTCACTTATATTTGAGTCTGTTGCACTTGATTCCTTTAATCATTTCGGTTAATGTTTTCTAAGACTTACCGGATCCTTTAAATACGATTACGGTTTTGTTTTGTTTATGTATTTGGGGAAAAAAAGGGGGGGGGGGTCCTTTTTCCCTACACTGTCACTGGCCACACAAAAAAAATGACATTTATGTACAGTACACTACGTAGACATAGACATGGATAATTGGAAATGATTATAATAGCAATAAGTATCTCTGAAATGGAGTTCACTCTGATAATCAGAGGCGTAACCCCCTTTGAATGTGTCGGGAGCTATTTAAGTATTTTCTGACTTAAATTGGCTGTCGGGACACAGAGTTCAAAAGGGATTAATCAGAGGCGTAGCAGAGAAAGTATTTAAAATTTGTACGGCAAAATGTCCTTTCTAGAAGGGTTTGTGCCATATCATAAGAATAATTGGTATGGCAATGAGGTGTTTAAAAAATAATTGGTATGGCGAATGTGCCTGCAGTAAAAGTTGCTACGCCCCTGGCCCCCTGTAAAATAAATAGCTGTGACTCATTACGGCAACTTAGTCTAGACAAGTTTGGCTTTAGCCATACATATTATTACTTCAAAGAAACATTTAAATTTGATAGTCTGTCTTAAAAGTGTCTTTAGTCTTTAAAAAAATCTAAAAATAATAATATAAGTTGACAATACAGAACTTCGTTAACTAATGATGCCATATATATTGGATAGGGGGCAGATTTTCTGGAAAATGGTATGAAAATATGGGAAAACCTATGCATGTTTCCAAGTGGCTGTTCTGTTTCAATGATGTTTTTTAGTATTTTTCATACCATTTTCACCTCCAGTATGAAAATCTGCCCCCTATTCAATATGGGGTCATTAACCGTGAAGTCCTGTATTGCATGGAATAATATTGTAGCTGTTTTATGTATATGTACATAAATGCCAAAAATTAATTTGAATATATAAATAGTTTTTTTTTATATACATGTATAATATATGTAATGTTTCTTTATTTATTCTAGGAATGAAGAGGAAAAGGATATAGCAGTCTTTATATAAAATAGTTCAGGAATCCAGTTGGAAAGAAGAGCTTTTCAGTTAAAAGTATTTCCTGGGAATTAACAGAAACTTCTATAAATGTTTTTCTGGAATAGTTATTCAAAAGGGCAGTGAAGTGAAGGATTACATTAGACAAATATTGCTGAAGTGGTAAAATCAGACCCAAGAGATGTACAAAATTTCTACAATACATGTTACAGCTGACTTTAGCTACTTAATCACATTCACATTTGTGTGCTTTTATGTTTTCTTTACATAATTACTACAGTTCTATTAAAATTAATATTTTTATTCTTTGTCACAATTATTACTAAAAAAAAATACAGCATTTTAATATGGTTTTTCATAGTCTCACTTGCATTGTACTTAAATAAGTTGTCTGTAGATGTTTACACTAGGTTTTCAGGCATTTCACTTCACTTGATTGAAACAGCATTTAAATGTTTTGTTAAATTATGGTCTGAAAAATACATTTATCATTTTACAGGAGTTTTCACAATCAGTGAATGGCTGTTTATCACAGTAGTACATGTACATTTCACGGTCTTTTCACAATGGGCACATAATTTATCACGACTTTTTCACGGTGTACATTTTTGTTTTTCACAGGGTTTCTACGGTCTCTTTACCCAAGTTTTCAGTTGGCACCTTTTCACTGCCTTTTCACGACAAATAAAGGCATATACTGTACTATATCTACATTTCACGGTCTTTTCACAATGGGCACATAATGCATTATCACGACTTTTTCACGGTGTTCATTTTTTTTTTTCACAGGGTTTCTACGGTCTTTTCACCCAAGTTTTCAGGTGGCACCTCTTCACGGCCTTTTCACAAAATTTTCACGACAGTCATTCCACGGCATTGTCACGGATAAGTTTCACGGCCCACCGTAAATTAACCGTGACAAATACTGTAAAAATCACCAGCATTTTTACGGACATTTTCACGGCCAATCTACGGGGCATTGTTCCAGTAGTGATGTCAACAAGTACTCGAGTAATTAAGTATCATTCAGTAGAACACTGAGTATTGAATTTCGAAAATTATACTCGACTCGGTTTTCTGTTAGGACTGTGTTCCCTTCTT